GCACAAAAAAATGTGAAAATTACTGTTACGCTTGTTTGAAAATAGCAACAAATCGCGCCAAACACGTCTTGAGCCTTATTGTGCTGAGTGTATGACAGGGCCCAAGATGTTCTCCTAAAATTAGCATTTTTTTTTCAGCATCCCATGTTTATTTTCAGTTATTTTATTTTAAAGGCTATGAAAAGAACTTATTTATCACTATTGAAGTAAAATTATTAAACCTACACAGGGGTGTAAGAAGAAGATGTTAATTTTAAAATAAAATCTCAAATGGCATTTAAAGGTTTTTGCAACCAAAATTGACATAATTATATAAAAAATGACAAGCTTTAGATATAAAATCAATTATATATCTTATATGTTAAGTTATTTAATATATTATATATATATATATATATATATATATATATATATATATATATATATATATATATATATATAAGCAAAACCAAAATCCCCTTTAACTGTCTTTTTTCTTTTTTTTTCTGTGCCTAAAGGAGGATAAAAGCTTTTTTTAAGGGTGTATTCATCACAATTAGACCAGTGAAACCCATTCAGAGGTATTTTATTCTCACAAAATGCTCTTCCCATATGCAGCAGCAGCGGGGATCTGGAGCTCCAGAGGGGCCCCTGCTCAAAGTTCAAGAGCTCCACTGTGAGCTCCCCCTTTCCTATGCCTCCACCATGGTTACACATCCATGATAGACAAATATGAAAGCATGTGGCTCTCGGCTGCAGCTGACACGATCATCCATGCTCTGTCTGGCCCTCTGGAGTTTGCCAGCAAGCCTCATTAGACTCCAGCTATCTGCACAAACCAACGGGAGGTCTCGGGTTGAAGGTTGATGTGTATTTGTCAGCCCTGTTAAACCTGTCAAAGTCCCTCCCTCTCCATTAACAAGAGCGGCTATTGGAGATCTGTTTTTTTGGATTCTCAGGCTGATGGGTGTAGATTCTCACTGCTCTGTGTTAAATAATGAATCGGGTTCATGTTGGAGATGTGGTGCTGTGTGGAAGACACGTCGTGACCACGTCTTTCCCCAAACAGGAAGGTTCATCTGACAGGTCACTGATGCATGCAGGGGGGTAATTTTAAAAATTCAGCAGGGTCTTAGTTATTTTAGAGTAGGCCGATATGAAGAGAGAGTTCACTCAGGAAATTCTGTTATCATTTATTCAGCTTTATTTTGGTGAAAGTTAAAAATTATGCAAAATGAACATTAATGCAGAAAAATAGTATAGTGCATGAGTAAAACATCTCATTAAATTAAATTAGTAAGAATAATCTGACATTCAAATTAACCAGATTGTTAAACAAATCACTCATTGTGGTTTGTGAACCACATCAAAAGATTTTTTCATATGAAGAACAGTTGATTTACAAATTAAGCATATCAAATTCCTATGAATCCGCTTGGATTTTAAGATTAATTTAATGATACCTTTATAGTGTTTACCAGAAACAACATGAAGAAGACCCAGAAGACCCAGAAACAACATGAAGATCAATAGTGGAGTATAGCTTGCTTTCTTTTATAGTCTTCTTTAAGTCAAATCAGTGAGCTGATCCTGAGAACTAATTATGTCAAATCCAAAATGGTTTTGTGAAACATCCCAAAAGATTCACAATTTGTAAAAAAAAATAATTCATAAATAAAACATTACAATTTCAGCTAAAATGTAATCTTTACGTTTAAATTTGACTCACGATTCATTATTTTGATACAGTTCACAAAAACAGTATGGATTTTTTTTCAGCACAAATCTGACTTATTTGGATCTCAAGTTTAACTCACTAATTAGGTATCCACCTTCATTTTATTTTGGAAATTCAAAAAAAATGTCAATATACAGTAAATGATCCTTACAATATCGAAAAATTGGTCATAACAAAATTTGCGATGTTTAACTTGCAAATGAACAGTTTTGATGAGCCAGATCTTAAAAGCGAATCTTTTGACACTATATAAATGGTTCAAATCTGATCTCATTTGGTTCTGGTTTAACTCATTAATCAATTATTCACTTGTGTTTTGTATTTGGTTCTTGATCAACTTGCGAATCAGCTGTTCTTACAGGAGTCAGATCCTGTAAATAAATCCCTTCACAGTTCAGAAATACAAAATCTGAATGATTTCTTTACAAATATGATTCATCTTGCTCTCAGTTTCAACTCATTGATTAAACCTGGAAACACACAGAAAAAGAAAAATGTGATTGAATACTTTAGTTTGTTTCTCACGGATACTAAAGCACTGAAAGACCATTCTGAAGTCGTATAGACCACTTTTATGACACTTTCATGGTGGTCTAAACTGTTTCATTATGCTTCAAAGCTTTAGTCTCCATTCATTGTAATTGCATGGAAACAAGTTACCGGTCTAACATTTCTTTTACTGTGTTTAGAAGAAAGAGAAACACGAACAAAGTTGTAAATCTAACAGTGATACCATGGACAATGCTTTACTTACAAATTTCACAGTTCATTTAGTGAATTACTTTGCCTTGCATTTGAACATTGAATTGTTTCTACACCATTTTTCCCCACGGAAATATATCAGTTTAATTAACATACAATAAATAAATAAACATTCAAATCATTGATTTTTTTACAGATGCATTTTTAAAAAGTTCCTGATTTCAGCATTCACGTGTTCTTTGCAGACCGTCCTGCCAGTCACCAACAGTGTGATAGACAGCAAGAGAAAGACTGAGAGAAACGCGGATAAAAAGACAGAGGCACTGAGAAACCTCACTGCATTTATTTTTCAGCTGTGGTGTGTACGGGCTTGTCTGAGCCATCATAAACACCCCAGCACTCCTCCACACACCCCGGGCAGTGTGCCTGATTGTCTGTCAGCCATTGTTGGAGAGGGTTTACACAGTAGAGACATCTCATTTACGCTCCCTGCCATCGCATTCAACCACGTCATATTTTTTTGGTCGGTGACAGAGCTTTTGAGAGCTTCTGTGTGGAAGAGGAACCAGCTGGTAGAAAGGAAAAAATGGTGGCCTTTTTCCAAGAGCAGTTAGAGTATTGATTTGACCTTCATCTTTTAAATACCAAACACTGAGGTATTTGGTCTAATGGGTCCTGTTGTGTTGGTTCACTTTGCGTCCATGTGCCTGTGATATGACTAGCAGGTGAACATGCCACAGAAGGGCAGTAATGTGACCCAAATCTGTCTTTTTGATCTAGAAGCTTATAGCTATCTGTCACTAACGGTCAGTAATTTGAGTCAAAACCATTTCTGATAAAATGTGAGAGTTGGCAACGGGATTCTGTTTTGATAAATCAATGTAATAAACATGGATGGACAGACAGACATATACAGTAGATAGATAGATAGATAGATAGATAGATAGATAGATAGATAGATAGATAGATAGATAGATAGATAGATAGATAGATAGATAGATAGATAGATAGATAGATAGATAGATAGATAGATAGATAGATAGATAGATACTACCATCTGTCTGTCCATCCATCCATGCACTTATTCATCCATACCCTCGGTCATTGATCCATCCAGCTCTTAGATCCATCAAGCTTCCTAACCCACTCACACATCCATCTAATCATTCATATACCCAACACTGTCCATCCATCTATCCATTTTTGGTCCCTCCGTCTGTATTGCCTTCGATTCATATATTCAGCAATCCATCCCCATACCCAATCTACCACCTGCACCTCCATCTATTCAGCTCCATCAATATATATGTCCTTTAACTAAAGTAATCCTTTAATCCGTTTTTTTATTCCACCACCCGTCCGTCCATCCATACATCTATCAATCAACACATACATGTATCCTACTCACAAATCCATACATCCATCAATGCACTCATTCATCCATACACTTGTTCATCCATCCATCTGTCTTCTCTGTATATCCATCCAACCATCTCCTGACCCAATTCACAACCATCCACTCATTCATCCATCCATATATCTGTCTAACAAACACTGGTCATCCATCCATCCATTCATCCATCCATCCATCCATCCATTTTTAGCCCCTCCATCTGTCCTTCCATCCATTCATATGTCCAATAAATCATTGCTATAACCAATCAACCACTTGCACCTCCATCTTTTCATTTAGCTCCATCCATCTAAATGTTCTATCACTAAATATGTCATGCATAGATCCATCCATCCATTTTTCTATTCCACCACCTGTACGTCCATCCATACATCTATCAACCAACCCACACATCCATCCCACTCACACATCCATCCATCCATCCATCCATCCATCCATCCATCCATCCATCCATCCATCCATCCATCCATCCATTCATTCATTCATGCTCATTCATTCATTCTTTCATCCACTTATTCATCCATCCATCTGTCCAGCTCTCTGTAGATCCATCCAACCATCTCCTGACCCACTTATACATCCATCCGTTTATTCATTCATCCATCCATATATTTGTCTACGCAACACTGGCCATCCACCCTTCCATCCATTCATTTTTCAGCCCCTCCATCTGACCTTCCTTCCATTCATGTGTCAAAAAATCCATCCCCATACCCAATCACCCACCTCCACTTCTATCTATTCATCTAGCTCCATCCATTTATATGTCCTATCACTATACATTCAGTCATCCATCCATCCATTTTCTGTTCCACCACCTGTCGGTCCATCCATCTATCAACCAACCAACCCACCCATCCATCCATCCATCCATCCATCCATCCATCCATCCATCCATCCATCCATCCATCCATCTATCTATCTATCTATCTATCTATCTATCTATCTATCTATCTATCTATCTATCTATCTATCTATCTATCTATCTATCTATCTATCTACAGACATTAAGAATTAATTTTGCACAATTTACAACAAAACATTTAAATAAACGTCTTTCTCTAGAATACACGCGCTCGTACACGCCTACTTTTGACTCCACGCTCACACACGCGTGACGCCCCTTCATCCAGCAGGCTGTGGCCACAGAGAGCAGCTCGCGCCAGTGTCGGATCCTGCTTCAAACAGGCGCGCAGTTTCCTCTCCAGCTCAGCTCAGTTCTCCAGCGCAGCCACCGGCTCATCAGCCCAAGTTTACGCACAGGGATGCGGGCGCGTGGAGCCGCCTGAAAATGGCTCTCTTTAGGATTTACTCTTTCCTTGCTCCTTTTCACATACTAGTGCTGTGTCAAGCCTTGAGGAATTATCCAGATAATGAAGGTAAGGCATACAATCGCTGTCATGTTCGTGCGCTTTGGATGTTCGTGGATTTTGAATTGTGGATGAAACCTGCAAATGCATGTTGCTACGTTTGTTTATGGGATGTTTTGAAGATATGACATGCATTAGTGTTAGCGTTTTTGTGTGTGGAAATTTCGAGTTCAGGAGTTTCGAATAATAATGAAATTTAGTCATCATTTGACGAGCACTCGAGTGATTTGACTTGCATTGCTGGGATCAGTAGAATTAAAACATGGATGTGTTTTGACTTCAATATGATGTTACAGTGCTAGTAAGTTATATTTAAGAACTTGTGGTAGTTTGTTTTGAAAATACATCCCTGTTGTCACTGGTGTGTGGTTTATATAAGTATACATAATGTATAATAAAATCTAAAACAACTGACAATAGGCGACTTTTGAGGAAATTCAGAATAAAATTCTGTATTTGTGTGGTTTGTGAAGTCTTTGTAGAATTGCCAGGGATGGGTGAGATGGCTGTGCCGTGAGCAGTGACAAATGAATGTGAGACACTCATTTGCTTAATTAAACAATTAATTAGGAGAGATCAGAGAGAGCTGCTCCCACAGAGACTTACTATTCTAACCTAGCCAGACCAATATCATACATTTTGATCCTTGAACCTGATCCAACTTCTTTAAAGAAGTCTGCTTTCAGTGCTTTGTAAGTAAGAAAAGTATATTTCTAATCTGAGAAGTCAAGTGAAACCCTGATATTTGTGATTTGAAGCGCTGTATTGTCATCTCAAATATCAGATAAGTTTTCTTGGACTTAAATGTTCTAGGATGCAGGATATGTCAGTTTACTACAGATTTATTTCCCTCCGAACCTTCAAAAAGCAGACAATAAATTAACCTCACTGGATTAAAACGGGTTTACTCTTCATTGTTATGAGATTAGGATTAAAGCCACCCATTGTGCTCTTGTCAAAAGGAAGGTTCAATGGTGGGTTTAATACACATTTAGGCGGAATCTATCAGATAGGATTTTGTGTAGAGCTGACATGTCTTTGGCTGACAGGAAGTTTTGGGAAATTAAAATACACTTTTGACAGTGGTGGGAGTAAAGTCTAAATCATTTTGTGCTCATGTTCTTTCATCTTTAGCACATTTTAGCATATTTTAGCGTCCTTTTTGTCGTTTACCTGTGTAAGTTGCAGGGTTTTTAGAGGTATGCATTTCCTCTACTCACCAGATGGCGGTATCCCTGAGGTGATTTTACAATGTGATTCTGTGAACATTTGTGATGAGGGCAGATCTACTTCTGTGTGTCGATGAACTGTTCATTAAGTTCTTGTTCTGGAGTTTTTTGTGCCTTGTAAGCATTTTCTACATTAGGATTGGTAGACTTTTCCCATATCGACATATGCTTGATATCTGTCTTCTGGCCAAACTGATACACATCAGCACATATTTAATGTTAATGACTACGTTGGTTTTCTATTCAGAGTCCAAATGACTGACTTCCTCAGCACATTCTCCGTTTTTGGAAGCCATTACTGCAGTGCTTGGATATTTACACCCCTCTGGAGATAATAAAGACCAAGATGTTGCAACAAAGTTTTTAAATTCACTAAAAAAATGCTTGTAAAACGTACTAGCTTAGAAAAAGAACAAAGAATGTGTTGCATATGAATTTATATCTTTATATATTTAACGTGTCAACAAAAGTCTCTTTGTTAAATCTTACACTAAATTTTCAACGTTGGTAAAGCAGAAAACAAGGTCCTATATATAAATAAATGGGTAAATAAACTGAAAATACCCGTCAATTAAAAACTAAGGATTTTTTTAGCATAGTTAGCATACTTAGCATAGGTAAATATATTAGCCAGTTGAAGTCAATAATATCTGAATTGAAATTTGGCTAATAATTTTTGCATGTCATTTGGTTTAAAGCTGTTCTTCTGATGAAACATTGGGTTGCCGTTTAGCTGTAAAATCCAGATGTTTGACTGAAGCTTAAGAGAACAATTGCTCTAGAATTGTTTAACTATTTGTTAATCGAAAGCATAGGCACCAGTGACAACCTTTTTCACTCCGTAGCCTATAAAGTTCTTCTCATTTTTAATAAGTGCCCTCTTGTTTTTCTAGTTAGCGCTAAGCTGTTAGCCAGTCTTGTGGATGATATGTCAATTGAAATGTATATGGCTGATAATTTTTTTTTACATGTAGTTTAGGTTGATGCAACATTGGGTTGCCATTTAGTTGTGGAATCCAGATGCTTGACTGAAGCCAACTGAAAAGAACTGTTGGTCTAGAGTTGTTTTAAGATATTTGTAAATCGAAAGCATAGGCATCAGTGACAATCTTTTTGACTCTGTATAAAGACTTTCTCATTTTTAATAAGTGCCCTCTTGTTTTTCTAGTTACCGCTAAGGCGTTAGCCAGTCTAAGTACATGATATCTGAATTAAAATATTTATGGCTAAGAATTTTTGCATGTCTTTTGGCTTAAAGCTGTTCTTCTGATGCAACATTGGGTTGCCGTTTAGGTGTAGAATCCAGATGCTTGACTGAAGCCAACTGAGAAGAAGCATTGCTCTACAGTTGTTTAACTATTTGTAAATTGAAAGCATAGGCACTAGTGACAACCTGTTTTATTCTGTATAAAGATCTTCTCATTTTTAATAAGTGCCTTCCGCTGCCCTCTTGTTTTTCTAGTTAGCGCTAAGGTCCCTCTCATTAGCTCGTCTTTTGTGCACGTTCTTACTGCATTTAGTGATGGTTTCTCGTTTGCTTTTGTTTCCCTCCCCAGCGCTCCGGCAGGGAAATTAGCATGAGAAAACACTTTTTCTGTTCAATTCAGCTGTGCTCAGAGGCTCTGTTTTGCTCTCGTTCTTTCACTCTCCCTCTCAGCTACTGACATAAATTTGCATCTCTCTTGTTTGCGGGTCGTCCGAGGAAGTCTGTTGATTAGTCTAACCTGTAGCTTTCCTTTTTGTTTTTTGAGGGTGCTGGTTATTTTCCTGTCTAGATGGTATAAAGAAGGTTTTGTGTATGAACACTTCAAATGGTCGACTGGTATTATACTGAAGATACAATTAAAGATCTTAATTGGTTGCAGCAGTGATGCTATCTCGGCTCAAGACATTATTCGGTTGTGAACTTGGGACACATTTTACAACACTGAACTAGAAACTAAGACATTTTTCTTTTCTTTCTTTTTTTTACACATCGAAGGTAATGTTGCTGTATTTTGCAAAGAGGCTAGTTTGTGAATGAGACAAAATCCCATTTGAGGAAGCCATCATACATTTTATTTGTTTAAATTTAAGATTTTAGTAGCTGTTTATAAGGGCTTGTCTTTCAAGTGAATCTGAGACTGTCTATTGTTATTTTTAACATGCATGCTTTAGCAAAATCTGCTATTGTTATGCCCACCCTGTTACACAGTTGTGTGATCAGTAGGATATCTCTTCCGTAGGCCAGAGGGCGCTCTAGAGAGTCTCACAAAAACCCAGGAAATAGTGGCCATTAAACTTCTTTTAATGATTCAGTGTGATTAATTAACACACGACTAAGACAGCATATGGTTCATCTGAGTTCTTATTGTAATTTTTCTGATGATGTAATGCCTGTGCCACTGCTTAGAATACTATAAAATATGTTGTACGGCTTTTTCTGTGTAAGATGCTCATCATCGCACAGAAGGATTAAAAAAAAAACAACAACAACATTTGCCTTAAGTTATGAAGTTAGTATATAAAAAATAAAATTGTGTTACCCTTAAAAAAAAATGAGTTTAGAGTAAAAACATCATTATATGTGCTATTTTCACATGCTTTCAGATTTGCTACCAACTGCTGTAGTTCACTAAAAACCTACGAAAACATCTGTCAATATCACTAATTGATTATCTGCAATTTGACTATAGTGATTATTATATCCAAAGCAATATTTTGCGTAGCTTGTCAGTGAAGTACAGCTCTGTGTAGTAAACATTGTATCTAAAAGCATGTTCTAGAGATTCACTACTGATTACAGAATTTACGTCTTTGATTTAGCATGCAGCCCTTGTGATTTTCAAATAATGCATTATGGTAAAAGTGTCTTAAAGTATTGGGCCTTTTTTGCTCTCCCCAGTGGTTATTTCAACCAGAAATCTCAGTGATTTCTAAGTTTAGCATAAATATACTGTAGATACAGGCGCATATTTCCAATAAAATTGTGAATTGATTCAGTTGAAAGAGTCAACTTGAATTCCCAGAGCTGTTTTTATCTATAACTATGAGTCAAATCCATTACCGGAGAGCTATTTCTATTCCTGACTCCTGCTGTTCTGAATGGCACACCTTAGACCTTATCGCCCCCAGCTGCACCACACTGCTACGGATCAGACGGCTCATGCGGCAGAACGAGTCTCAGTGCCTGTGGCATTTCAGGATGAAGCTCATGAATGCTGTGAAATAAGGATGGAGAGCAGGTTTGAGCTCCACCGGTTTAAACACACTATACGAATTTCCTTATTAAAACAATAAATTTATTATTGAGCTGTTTACCTTGATTTGAACATATCAGTGTCATATTTTATCTTACTGATCTGGGTGCGTTTCTGAAAACAATACTTAGCCAACTTAAGTTGCAACAAGTTCCGTTGTTATAAACATGGTTAATTGATTTGTTGTTTCCCTAATCCGTTGCAAAATTGCAAAATGCATCGCAGACTTGTGTGGTTACAACTACTCCTCTAGACATGTATTTAAGCATAGTTGCTGGTTGTGTTCTATTCCCAGTTATCCCCCCTTCGCCCTATTGCTTTCGACCATTCCAACATTTAAAAAAAGTAATCTCTCTTACGTGTAATTAGCTGTTAAGAATTACAAAGTATTGATAACTGTCCTCCACTTAGGCTGCACTTTGAAAACCATTTTGAAAGCAGCAGTGGTTTATAACGAATGCTACAGGTGACATATGATTTAAAAGCAGAATCTACATTAGGTCTTCAAAGCTTGTAAACACATAAAATATAGAGGATACAT